GATTTCAGGTTGTTGTAGTGCCAAACGGAAGACAGCTTTGAGTTGTTCCCAGTAAGCTGGGCGGCCCTTTCTCGAAGTGTGTGGCTTGGTCTGTGGTACAAGCGGCTTGGTGACCACTTGCAATTGGTAACCACGGCCTTGGGCAGCCCAAGGGTTTTCTTGGAGCAAGTATTGCTCTGTCTTGGAAAGCCAGTCCGCCCAATGTTGTGCTGGTCTGTTGGGTGGATTGCCATAAAGCTCCACCACATGTGCCTGGGATTGGTATGTGGTCCAGGGTCGGAAGTCAATGTCAGGCACCTTTGGCAACGGCGGGAAATAGGGCATCTGCCTGTATTCTCTGGTGGCAGCCTCTATGTCAAACTTGAGCTGGAGGAGCGCATGTGGTCTCCACGGGACTGACCATTCAGTGAGAAGGGTGGTGGTTCCCGCCAGAGTATTGTGGAGGATGGCATAATCAATGGTGTTTCCAGACAAGACACTGTGGTCAGGCGCCAAGATGCCGAAGTGGAACTTGGAGGAGAGAACAGTTCCTGCCATGGCGCTCGGTGGATTCTGCCAATCTCCAATGCACACAAAAGGGTGGGCTGTGTGAGTGAGCAAAGCCAGCAGCCGACTCATGATGGCCGCATTGGTCGCACTTTGAAGTGTTTCTCCTGTTCTCATGTAGAGCCCAATGACCAGGATTGTGCATTCCGTGCCTTGCCAAAGGAAGCTTTGAAATCCGCACCCATGAATGGTGTAGGCCTCAAACTGAGTGACCCCACAGGCAGCGTCTGCAACAACCAGTAAGCCTCCATGTGTGCCCGTGTTCTCTTTGTTGAGGTCAGCCGGTGTGCCAAAAGCAAGTCGTCCTCTGACAGTGAGGTATTGACAGGTTTCCCAATGCTTTTGGGGATCCAAATGGGTCTCCGCAAAGATGTAAATGCCACTATCTCGCGTCCAATACCATTCCAGCACTTGGCGCCCAAAATTGGTGACATTGCTGAAATGCAGAACGTTGTGGTCCTGCTCTAGACGTGCCCTCTTGACAGGACTTGGGTGTAGTGGTGGCTCATAGTCTGGCTCTTCAGGTGGTGGTAGGCCATGGAGCACCTGCTGAGGAGTTTTGAAGCAATCCATGTTCACCGCCCAGACCTGTGTGATTTGGCTGGCCAGACTGGGTGTCAGGTTGGGCAAGTGAGTTGGGACCTTGCCATCATCAGCAATCCACATGAGGTCTCTATAGACAAGAATCGCGAAGTAGTGTCCTTGCTGATGTGTTTGGCCTCGATGACAGATGAGGACTGCTGGAACAAACTCCGTGGATGAGCGAGAGAAACCATCCAGGGACCGGGGCATGGTAAAGGTGCCATATGGATTGAACGGCTTCTGGTGCTTTGTCATCACCCCATCAATGCACGTGTTTCGGGTCACGTGACAGATCAGGACCTTTTTGTCATCCAACAAATACTGTCCCATGCCTTGGTTTGCCCAATTGTTGATGAGCTGCTGAAAGGTCACATCATCAGGCCAGTCATCGGGGTAGGGAACCAAGATGGGCTGTTGGACATGGTCTGTTAGGTATCCGCCTTCCTTGATTTCTGCAAAGCGATAGTGGAACGCTCTGCTCTGGGAGAGCAGCCACAAAGAGTTGACAAAGTGGCTCGCATCTCCTTGCACATTGAGGTCGTGCTGTTTCCAGAGCTCACGAAGTCCTGGAAGGGTCGTGATGTCCACTTGTTCAGCTGTGTCAATGGATTCCTGCACAGCTTCTTGAAGTGTGCCCCAAGGTTGAGTGCTCGATTCCTGGAGAAGAGCACAGATCCATGTGAAGCCGCGCCATGGTGCATTGGCAAAGCACCGGACACTCGGATTTCCCACAACCATAGTGAGATTCTGCAAAATGCAGTCGGTTGCTGTGGCATAGTTCTGCATGCCAGCTGATTTGAGAGTTGGACTGTCGGAAGTGTCTGCAGTGGTCGCCGCCCCTCCTAGAATGGAGAGGATGGGAGTGCCATGGGCCGTCTCTGCAGTGGGCTCATCAAGCAGTGTTGAAACTTGTCTGTGAGCTGCAAAACTGAAAAGTTGCTCATGTACACCATGAAATGAATGTTCCCCATCATTTGTGGTGTGGAGCGCCCCGGAGGGTTGTGAGTCAGCTTTAGGATGTGCTTGATCCCTTGCACATATGAAAGCTGGTGTCCCCTGATGCTTTTGTGAGCCTGAAGCAGCGCGGCAATCCCTTTGTGGTGTTGCTGACGCGTCATCAAACTGAAGTGCATCATCTAGAAAGGAAGTTTCTTGAAAAAGTTGCCCCTTGTAAGGACTGTCAGGTCCTTCACATGACATGATGTCATCGTCCGGCACCGGAACAATCCACCCCTGAAAGTGCAACCCGTTGGTGTTACCCACAATGTCCTGGTGGTACAGTCTGCTTGCCATCGGTTTTGCGTCGCTTCAAGGAGTCTTCAGTCTCCTGGTTGGGCCTCTTGAGGAGGCCGTGAAGCTGAGTCTTCTGCTCTTCGGTCAAAGAGATGCCCAAGCTATGGACAAAGGATTCGACAGCCATTGGAATCTGTTCAGCTTCTCCTTGGGCCGTCGGCAATTGAGAAGGCGTTGGGGTCTGGTTGACCGCTTTCATGTAGTCATCCGAAAGGGTCTTCAGTGCCTGCTGGCCTTCTGTGAGCTTCGTTTGTAGCTCCTGCATGTCTGTCAGTAGCGCTGCATACTGTGCTTTGACATTGTCAATCTTGGCCTGGAGTTGAGTCTTTCTCATGGAGAGATTTTTGAGCTCAGTCACTCTGCCTTTGAGTTTAGCAGCAATCTCACGTTCTGTGCAAGGCTCTGGTGTGGTTAGCTTAGTGACCAGGTCTTGGACTTGCTGAGGTAGAGCCTCCATGTGCGACTTGAGGACATCTTTGAGCTCAGGTTCATCTGGCTTGGTTGGACCAATGCCTATGGCTTGTAGTCGATGCTGGGTATCCTCAGTCAGGGTGGTCCACGTAGCTGCCAACAAATCAGTGGCTTCCTCTGGACCCTGGAGATTTTGAGCGGCTTGACTTTAGCGAGACCCGGCGGAGCGTCTGGCCAAGAGCCCTGTGCCTTGGAGAGCTTTCCTGTAGGCCTTCCATACCCTTTGCCTTTGCCTGTGGGCGGACTTGCTGCCATCCACATCGTGCCACATCGTCTGCACCTGGTGCCTGGGTACAGCTTGTCCTGCCAAATCCAGTTAGAGCATGAACTCTTGGTGCAAACCTTATAGGTGCGGCACCAGGTTGGGGTCATTGTGCCTGAGAGGCTGGAACTGAGGTCAGGGCAAAGGACAGGATGAAGGGTGAAGTTCAGGGCACCGATCACGATCAGGCCAGGAAAGTTCTGTGTCAAGAAGGGATAGTGGGCAAAGTGGTAGTTGAACTTGTCCTGAGAGAGGTTGGTGTTCTGAGCGAGAGCTGCCGGCCACCAAAGAGCTCAACAGGAACGGCCACGGAGTAGGCGGAAATTGCGAGCAAAGAATGTGTGGTAGTTGGAGAACTCGAGAGCCGAGGTCAGGAGGTACACAAAGCTATGTTCGCTCAGGGTTCCGCACTTGCAGGACTTGGTGGGGAGCCTGCTTGATCTCAAATGGCTTGAGCCATGTATGTATGTATGTATGCATGTATGTATGTATGTATGTACGTACGTATCTATGTATGTATGTGTGTGTGTGTTATATATGTAATATGTACATGATGATGCATGCCTACATTAACCCCTGAAACCACCCCATTCCAGTTAAACCCACAAGAGATCAGTGACGTGTTGACCCATGTAGATCCAACGACTTCATGGCTTCCCCGGTTGCCCCCCCAAACAGTCCCAACATCATGCAGGGAGTGTGTGTGTGTGTGTGCATGTGTGTGCACCCCTTTGGGTGGAAAAAGGGAGTATGTTTTTGCCGTTTTGGACTTCTTGCGCCAAAAATGTGTGTGTTAAACAGTTGTCATCTCGTGCTCCAGCCTGCGCTTGCAATTCTTCCAAGGTCCCCATGTTTCCCACGCAGAAAAGGGCTGCGGTGAATGCCCAGTGGCCCGGTGTGGGGCGTGAGACGAGGTCTCCACTGGGACTGGCTGATCGGAAGAGACTTGTATAAACTTTCAAGGGATTTGTTGACCATCTTACGCTAGCCCCGAATTGAAAAAGCGTACTTGCCGGCACTTCCTGGCACAGTCTCGCATCCTCTTCAAACGAGCTGTGGGGGTAGGCCGTCATCGTTTTTCCACATTGAAATTGCACCTCTACTACATAGACTCACATGGCGGCTGAGTTGCAAACGGCCTGAGTTTGCCGGAGACAAACATTCCAAACATAAACCAGCTGCACTCCGCACTGGAAACGAAGAAACGCCCCAAGCCCTTAGGCCCCCAAGGCTCCAATGACCTCCTGACCAGGTACTGTATTTGAGATATTTTTGGGATGGCATGGCAGGTTTGGAGGGTCTATCGAATTACATACCCTTTGAGGCTAAATGGATCCTTACAAACATGTGACAGCCTTTGTACATCCTCGGGGCCTCGGACATGGAAACCGTTGCTGACCTTGTCCATCATGCTGAGCCAAAGCAGCGTCAGCCCGCAGTGGATCGGCCGCAGCACCACCCGCAAAAATGACAAGATCAAACTCCATTCGACTGGCACATGTAGAGGGCACGTGTTCTTTCACATCGAACGGAGCATTGACTAAAAACAAAAAATCAACCAAACAAGCCCACATCCTTACAAGAAATATCATTGTCTGAAACACTTGTTCAGCATCATGATGACCTTCATCTTTCGAATGCACCCTGCTTTCAAGTGTATCTTTCGAATGGACCATGTCCGGGGAGGCGGGTTCCAGACACCGTGTGCTCACCGGACATCACGTGTGCCCCTTGTGACCGCAGCAACCCAACAAGTGCCGCTCAACTCCTGAACCCCGAACCCAACTCATCCAAGCACTGTCAGGGGCTGGTGGCCTCCTGACAGCAGGGACATCACAGGCCCATGGACCATCTGGCCGGCTCTTTTTGTCTCCCCGGACCTCCCAAACCTCGCAAAGTTCCTGGAAAAGCTACTGTACATTCTCTAGGTGGAGTGTGGCAATCTCCAAGTTTCATAGTGAAGAGATGTGATGTTTTGAGCATGATTGAGCTACAGCAGGGAACTGATGACGGTCCACGGCAACGGCCAACACGTTGTCATCACAAGTCATGCGACTTGACGGTCGAGATGCCCTTCTAGACCTCACAATTTGGATCTTGACATACCGAATCGCGACTCAAGATCTTTGGAAGGTGGTCACCAGGTTTGATCGGTAACCAAACCAAATTGCTGACCCCAACAACATCTATATACACATGCAAAAATAACACAACTGTCAAAAAACGACGCAAATCAAGACAGCTGGCACACCAGGTGGTCGGTCCAAGCTTTCGCCGCCACGGTGAAAGCTTCGGGCTGCTGAAAGACGCCGACGTCATTGCTGTGGAAGCCGCTGGAAGGCGCCGATGGGGTCCCAGGTGTCACCCGACATGCCGTAGTTGGGGCCACACAGAAGTTGCTCGTCCGGGTAGAACTGAGCCTGGAGCGGGAGTTGAGGGCCTCCGTGGCATATGATCCACAGATGTGGTTGCAACAAATATGGGTAGGATAATGGTAGATATGCAGGGTAGAACAGGGTGAACAGAATTGATGTCGACGATCTTCTTTCAAGGAGCTTCATTATTGTTGGCCTACATATGGCACTTATATGCGACTCCGCCTGCATGAGCTACTGAAGTAGCATCCATTCAAGGATGTGGGGGTGATAGCAAAAGGCTCAAACATCACAAGCATGGCTGAATTTGCTGAATTGCTATGTCCGCAGTGTTTGTTTAGGGTCCCTTATTGGCTCTATGCAAGCAAGCCTGTCCCATCCGGATCCCCTCCCAGCCGAGTGGCAAGCAATCGACGTTTCGCATCGCCCTGCCAGCCCTTTGCACATTTCCTGAGCAAAATGTTGCAAATCTAGGCAGTTCCACTAGTCGGTTGAACCATGCGGCTAGTGAATAATAGATAGTAATAGCGATGAACATCGCCATGCCAAGGGTGCCCACCGTGCACTCCCCCAGTGGGCTGGGTCGGCTAGCGGCTGTTTGTCCCATTCAGAGGCAAGGACTTGGCAAGGTAGTGGCACATGGAAATGCATGGACATGCTCTATACCCCCATCAAAGGCTCCATCTGGCTCATGCCAGCGTCAGCAAAAACGGACAAACGGTCGTATCAAAACCGCTGGAGGCAGCTGTGTTTGGAGTGCACCTTGCGTCCAACAAACGTGGAGGTCAATGCAAGACTAAGTGGTGCAGTGTATGACCGGAAACTCAAGTGTGCTATCTTGCAAGCGGTTGCTCACGTGTAGATGGTTTGACTTCAGGATATCGTGGCACGACCCCCGTAAAAGTGCAAGGACGCATGAGGAGTAGAGCTTCTTTGTTCAACCAGATCAATTTTGAATGGAAAAGGCTGACAGACTGCAGCAGCAGGTTTGGCAGCCGAGTTCCTCCCTGCAACGCCGCGCACTTCGATAGGCTTCATTCAGTGAGAGAATCCACGAGGAAAGGAATGTAGGAACCGCACGATCGCTGGGTCAGTCGATGTGAAGGTGTTTGAACATTTGTTTCAGTGCACACACGCGCGAGACCGGCCGCAAAGCTGCGCACATCTGCTGGAAAATGGTTTGGGGGGATATCATGCAACTACTATGAAAACTTACAACGAGACAGCGCCAGAAAAGTGGAGTGGTGTCACAAAAGCAGGTACGTCCAGAAAGCGTCCTTTCTGGATATCACGACCAGGCTATCACTGTCAGTGATAGCGGTCCACTGCCCCCCTGCTATGAACAATCAAGTCGGTGGAACATTCCCTTAGGTACAGGGTTTGACACATACACACACAAAGTTGTATACATCCAGCATGGAAGATTTAAAAACTGCCCATGGCCCATGGCCGGAAACATCGGAAACAATCACTTAACACATCCTTCAATAATGGGTTCTTGGATGCCCCGCCATCGGATTCTGAAAACAATCCAAATGTGAGTCAAGGCTCATGCCAGGCCGATGGTTGACCTCAATCAGCCACACTTTGAAGTGTTCATCCAGAGCGAAGTCAAAACCAAATCGCCGCCATGGATGCCGCTGTTTTTTCTCCTTCACTATGAAAATTGAGGACGCGATGAGATTCCAGAACGAGCTGACTGACTCTGTCTCTCTCTCTCTCTATCATTCAATTTCCTGGAAGAAAAGGTTAATGTTTCTCGAGCTTTTCAGTTATAGTATTATAGAGACAACCGTCAAACAAACACCCCAGTCAACCTCGTCCATTGTGAACCGAGCCCAGCACAGGTGGCGTGACTCTCTCCGAGCAAGTGGCATGAAAAGAGGTAAAATGGGAGATGAGAAGCAGGGACCACAGCAAACCAGAAAATACCCCAGTCAACCATGGTGGGTTGGCATCCCTCCACCGAATTTCACCAATTGGGGGTAGTACCTGACATTCATACGAACCGTTATTTAAATGTTCCTGAGCAGAAAGACACACGCACACTGAGAAACACACATGAGATGAACCTGAAACACGTACAGGTCACCCATCATAATGGTCTTTGTTCAATTTCCTCAGCTTTGGGTGGACGATCTGGAATCCAATGGCAAGAGTAACATCTTCCGGCCGGTGATCAGAAGGTCCTCGTCAAAGAAACCCTCGGAGGCCCTCATGGGGAGTGAGATCCAAGCTAAAAAGAACACCCTGGTCACTCATCTAAACACTAGAGTACAAACAAATACAGTAACTGAATATACCGCGTTCAATTGCCAGAATAATACCATTCCAAAAAACAAAAACAACAACAAACCATAATTAACCTAATTGTGAAACTAATTATATATAAGAACCCGCATGTTGAGTCACTTTGCTGATATGGCATGGGGCATCTGATTCTTCACTGATTCACGCTTCTCTCCAGGAAGCTGATTCGGTTTTGAAGAGCAGCTTAGCAGGCTTAGCCGCCTTAGCCTCGCAATGATTCTCGCGAGCATGTGCAACCGATTTCAGGAACGTCTGTGAAAGCTGGGCACTCCATTTCATAATCACCAAATTCCTGCAACTCACCCATCACGGACCGTCCTCCACACCGTCTTCCGTGCCAGTTCTCAAAGGGCATGCTGCAGCAACAATCCTTGCCACCACTTGCTTGATTTCGGGCAAAATCTGAGTGGTCCAAAGATCCTTTCCGGTGACTGCTTCGAGGTACCGGGACAAAGTTGAGGTTGACCACATCCTCTTGCAGGGCGCAGAAAGCGTCGGCTTTCCCTGCTGAGATAGATTAGCAATATGTGATCCCACCTCCAAGGACTCTGTGAAGGGTGTCGTGCACAGCTCAATGTAGCCATGCTCGTAGAACCAAACCTCAGGACTGAAGACTCTCCCCTTGCTGACATACAATGATCTCACCTGAAGCTCAAAGTCCCCGGGCTGGGGTGGCAAAGTCCCTGGCCTGAGGTATCTGAGGTGGTTGTCCCTGGGCTGGGTGCTGGGGTGGTTGCAGTATGTCGTGACGCTTGGAGGAGTGGTTTTTGAATTCTGGATATGCTGTCACATGAGTCATGAGGCGAACGACTCCCGCTCCGAGCGTTCGGAGCGAACCGGGTTCGACCGCAAAAACAGCCGGTGCGGCCACCAACAAAACACTATAATAATCATATTATATATACCTAGACCCCATTTGACCTCTGTTTTGATAGGAAAAAACAATGTTTTGGCTCCAAAACGGGGGTCAATCAGGTCCTAGGTATATATATATACAGTATATATACTGTAATTATATAAATACCCACTTACACTGTGAACCCCCCACACATGTCAGCTGGCTTGACATGGCTTGAATATGTGACGAATAGACGCCAAGTCACGGGTGGGTCACTTCCGGTCCAATTAATTAGGACCCAGTGCCGCAAGTTGTACTTGAACATGGCGGGAGGAGTTCCTTCCCGCACCACGCGTGGCGCAGCCGCGCTGGACGTCGTCGGTTGCCACGCCAGTTCTGCCTGCTCTGCCTCAGCGCCCCACAAAAAGGGAAAACCACTGGGTTGTAGAGGAAAACCACCTTCCAAAGGTCCATTTTCAGGTTCCATGTGGGTCTCTTCCCGGGTGCCATCTGCTCGCCAGTTTCAGTGTCGTCTGGTCGCCGGGCCACCGACCGTTCCACCATGATCGTTCGGTCGAGAGACCTCTTGAAGCAGTGAAGGATCCAAGAGGTGTGGCATCTCGACGTACTTCTGTAGGATGTATCCATCAGAAGCACGTCCTGCAGAAGAGATGTGGACATCCGGAAGTCACACATCGAACTCACCACATTTGGGTGGGTCAAGACAAGTGTGCTCTGAGAGCCTGAGAGGCATGCAGCAAGTTCCGTGCCGGTGCTCGGAAGACACAAGACCAAACCATTTTGCTGATAGCCGTGCCGCCGTACCGTCGTACCGCGGTGTCCTTTGAACATCTCTGGTGCAATCTGTGGCATGTTGGACCCCAAGCCACCCAGCAACCCAATGCCTCGCAGGACTGTGCCGTTGATGCCGTGTCATGCTCGGACTCACCGGTCAGAGCCGTCGTCTTAGCTAAGCGTCCGATCGCTCCGTTTGGAGCGATGCCCAGGAGCCCCGTTCGTAGCGTGCTTGTTCCTAGTAGTAAGGCCAGGAGCCCCTAGCAGCTTCTTGCTCCTAGTAGCGATGCCCTTTGTTCTGGTAGTCTTGGTACAACTTGTCCAACACTCTTGGTCATCTGAACCAGTACTCTGGATCTTCGATCCCCTTGGCAATTTGGCGATCCGGAACCACCTGACTAAAACACTCAAAACATCAAAACATCTCAAAACCTAATTTGAGTCTACCTGACCGATCTTTAGCTATCTTAATCTCAAGGAAAACTGATAAAATGCTCGTCAAGTACTGTCAGCGAAACGCTTTTTCTCGTCCAACTCCTGTCTGTCAAACATCTTGATCTAGCTAGGAAATCCCTGCATCCCAAAATGCTTCCAAACACTGTCCAAAACACAGGATGTGTGTGCATGGCTGGTTTCCAAAATGTCTTTCCCAAATGGTGCACTCATGGCAATTCCATGGGGGCCCGCTTCTAAGTCTCCTTAAAACTCCAACCACACTCAAACCATAGGAATGTTAAACATGAAGGCATGTCAACTGCAAAAACTGTGCGCATGTACCCTATCATCAAGCAGTTTTCTCTACGAAATGAGGATCTGACTTCTCAGGATGATATTGCCAGGGGATGATCTTCGTATATTACACCTGGATCTTACAGGCATGGACATGGAGCCTTCTGCCGGTTCATCACTTTTTACTGGCAAAAACGGTGGATCAGAATAGGCAAGACAAGAGCGGCCACAGTGAGATCCCACCCGGCAGCATTGAAGCCATATTAAAAAAACAGGCTCTGACTCTGACGCATGGTTTTAAGAACATTATGCAATTTTTACGCAATTGTCCACCACGCCCGCAAATTGTGGAAATGACTAGCCTGTTAAGAACTGCTTGCATATCCTTAAGAACCTCTGTTCAAAGGAAGGACCTCACGCAGCCAAACGTAAGTGAACCCCTGCCAACCAAAGCGTCCCTTTCCCACTGCACCATCCACAGGCTTCAGTAGCCACCAGTTCCTTCGAAGAATCTTCGGCTGCAACGATGGCATGGCTTCCTCGAATGCCTTGACCAATGCTTCGGCATCTTCTATGGTTTCAATGGCTTCAACGGACTGCACGAGTCCTGCGATTTGTGTGGGCAGGACGGGGGATTCACAGCACCAAACATCAGGAACTTCCAGTGAGACCGCTGCCGCGGTCAAGGTATCTGATGCTTGAAATTGAAATATAAGTGCCAACTATTAAACAAGAAGCTACTAGGAACAAGTGCCACGCTAGTAGTAACAAGTGCCTTACTAGTAGTAACAAGGTTCGCTACGAACGGAACAAGTGCTTCTCAGCCCCCCCGGACGTGGTTGCACCCTTGCCCGGACAGCCCGCGCACCGGTCTCCGCGAAGACCGCCCAACCGCCTGGGAGGTTGAAGGACTTCAGCGACTCCAAAGCGTGGTAAGAGGCTTCTTGAAGCTTCCACGTGGCCCCCCTGGGCGCAGAATAGAGCCAAAGCATGCCAAAGCCCAAACCAAAAGGGTTCCATGAGTTCTGACATCATGGATGCATGTTTCCAAAGTATCTGATAGGAGCGGATAGGAGAGCAACATGGTGCAAAGGGTCAGAGAAGCATTGCTATGGCTGCCCCTTGCAATGGCATATTGGAAAATGTATGAACATATTGTTGGCACACAGCGAGGGGATTCTTATTGCTTCTTATGGGCGGTCACAAGTCCAAAGGACTTGAAAACATCAGCTTAAGGTGCAGAAGGCGCGCGAGCTGGGGAATGCTGGGGAGACAACGATGGTTGATTCCGGACTTAGCTTTTCTGCCATCGATGTGCCGCTGATAGTTGCACAACTGGACACTGGCCACCAAATATCAGCCAAAGAAGCTCGTCAACCACGGTCAAGAGTCAAGAGGGCTCTTTTGCACAACAATCTGGCAGGTAATTTGGTGGATGTATCTTTTCCCCGAATGATGCCAGCACAGCTTATGAATATGATGGAGTTGATGGCTGTGGGTAGGTCCTAGGTTGATTAAACTGCGTTCTGAGTGAAATTGGCCATGACTTCAGCACCGAACAGTCTCAGTTCTGAGTCTCAATCAACACAGCTGATGGGATATTTTCTTTGACAGCTTTTGGATCTGGCCTGGAGTTGAGGTGATGGCGCATGAAGCCATGTCAGCCGGTGAGGCAACTGGTACAGCGATGAAATTTATGATAAGGTCTATCTGCCCGAGCTAGTGGCACGCGAGTTACACTGGTTACGGTTACAGGTCCAATGAGTAATGAGGGTAGCGCGGATTTCCCCGACGAAGTCCCGGCGTTTAAGGTGTTCCGATTCTCCGTAGCTGGTGAATCTTGATGATCTCCAAATCCTGCGGCCGAACATCGTTTGTAATATAGATGCCTTTCGCCGTAGAACAGCGGGACCGTAAATGCATGGCAGCTTATGTCCATGGCCCGTTCCAAGAATGTGTGGAGAGCGCTGACCTGTGTGGTCACGCGCTGCTTGTGACGGCTGCCCCACACGTGTGGTCAGCTCCTTCGACATGGGGTTCTTTCCTTCAAGCTCTTGAAGATCCACTTTGCATGTTGGTTCGCTCCGACACAGGTGCAGAAGGCTGGAAAGTAAGCCACCAGGGCCTGGTCCTTTGTCACTTCCAACACCCCCCAGATTCTACCAAGCTTGGGAGCGTTGATTTTGCGACCGCTTTTCACCAGTCTAACACACTGTTGAGAGATTTGAAGACCTGTCTTCCAGGTCTCTGCATGCCGCATGCCAAGTCGCTCCAGGTCTGGGGATTTTCTGGCGGTCTCACAGCAGGTCTTGAGGCAGGCCAAGCAGTCGCACAAAGTGAAGTCCCTCCTCAGCAGACTCTGGAGTCTCGCATCTGAGACGGCGAGGCCGGGCCTGTGGCATTCAAAGAATGCATCACCATTATCACCATTATACCAGGACCCGACACCGTGGGGTGTCTATTTCTAGCCCCTTATCTGTTAAGGGGTCCTGGTAAGTTTAAGTAGATATTATTTGTACCAGCATTTGTGCGATTTCTGTATGCCCGAGGCCTACTTTGCACGGAGAGATGTTGGGTGCCAAAATAAGCCTGCAAAAGAAAAGGGGGTCGACCGATGGATTGTCACACTGCCAGAGGTGGGGTGCGATCGTGCAGTCCTTGAAGCCATCCCCCCCCAGCAAGGACTGCAACCAAGCCACTGAAAGCTTTCCCACTCTGACATCGTAGGTCCCCGGTCTGGTGGTAGAAGATAGCTCCGGGGAAGATACTCCACTGAAAGCTCGTCTTGACGAGCCACCAAGGCCAGCAAATGTTTTCCTTACACAAGCTGCTCAAGCCAGGCCAAAAATCTCCAATCACCCACCCACAAGCCAAGGCGCACCTTTCCCAACCTCCTGAGGCTGTCCGACTTGTCAACTGGCTATCACTTAAAAAACATGCCCTGGATTGTCCGTTCTCGCGATGCAGGCTGCCGGGTACATGCAATTGTATTCATGAATTCAGTTGAAACAACACGATGACTTTACATGACATGACTATCCGATACCAAAGACCAAAATTGCCAAGGAGGTCTTTGTGAGGCTTTTGCTTTGATAATGATCTTTCGACCCATTCCCAATCTGCCCAGGAGCGATGCAAATCTTGGACGCTGCCAGCAGGCGCTCCTCGTCGAGCTGCAATCAACTGCAGCCCTGTCGGGGGCAGCGCCTCCAACCGCGCACGCGGTCGGAACGAACGGCGCGAGGACCCGCCCCGCCGGTCGGTGGACCTCGGGACAAACGGCACGGGGTGCGGGAGGGTAGTCAAGATCTTGGAACCCTTGGAACCTAGGAAGTGAGTCGCAAGCAAAACGCCTCAAGTTGCCTTGCAGTACAATGCCTTAAGGATTGCTCCTTGCCGGGCCGATGCCTCCAAGCGATCCCGTTTTTGAGTTGGCCAGTGAGGCTGTGCAACTCATTTTGTGCATAAATTGGAAAGTGGACCGCTGGCAGCCTACAAAATCACAATCCAGCAAATATAGTTATAAAGAACAACTCTACAAAATGCATGAGACGGGTCAGTAGATGAACGAGTGTGCGTCATGATCGACTACGAAAGTGGTCCAAGTAACCTCTGAAGATGGACACAACACAGATCTAACAGTATCTAACAGTAACATAAAAAGAAACAACAGGACCAACAGGATCTCATAAATCAATGCATGCATTCTTTCCTTTCCCAAGCGAATACACACCGCCCAAAAAGACATAAAATTAAATCCACTGAGACCGTCACCCATGTTGTAAAGAGAGCTGACTCCTTATCAATCCATCCAGTTAGGAGGGTAGGTCCGAACTAAGGATTTGGTGAATATGCGACCCTCTCAGGGACATTTGGGTGTGTTGTATCCCATCGCCTGGGTCCCCTCTCGGGCCAAGTCTCCTCTGTAAGGTGCTTTTCCAGCTGAGCACCACCAAGAAGCTCTGCCATCGCCAGCGCACGCGGCCAGCGGCACTGCAGGGTGCTACGTGCCGTGGCGTCAAGGGCTGAGCCTTCATGCCGGCCATTGCCCAGGCCGCCATGAGTTCAAATTTGTGTGATTCAGTGGTCTCATGGTCGGAGCTCGTGGTCTTAAAGCGGATCCCGAGTTGCAAAATCCAGTCAATGGGAAAGGTAGTGGGAAAGGTATACGTTGAAACTGAAACACCAGTAGGGCAATTATTGTCTTACAAGTCCTATCCACTCTGGAATGGATGCTAGTAGGGGCTGTTTCGAGTCGTGCTGCAATAGTTTAAGCTTCCAATGGTCCATTGCTGCAGCGTAGCGCAGTAATTCCCTGTGGATTTAGTGCCCAGAAGGCCTGATTCCTTAATATTGAGCAGCCGAAGTACACTTGCACGTATGCGTCCAAACATCAAGATGGTTGCAGGTTCAAAGCGCATCCCACAATCGGTGATGTACGCAAACACATACTATATTATATGAACTATATATCCAAGCAAGACCACCCTGTCTGATGGACATATTACGAAGGATGGCCCTGCTCAGGAATCCATCATGAGTGGATAATAAGTGGATGAATCATGGGGTAGGACTCGGGGGTCATTTTATAGATCTGATTTGCGCCCGTCAGGGTTGTACACAAATCTAGACACGAAAGGAGGAACAAAAGGCTTCAGAATATAGAATCACACCCCATGGTTGCAATCTGGACCTGGTAAGACATGTCCTCCCAAGGTGGTCCACTATAGAATCTACCACCCCAATAGCCATATCAGGTCGATAAAGTTGATAACATGGAGCAAGCGCCTTGATTCTATAGTGGACCCCCCCAGGGTTCCCTGACAAGGCAGCGGACATGGATGATACTCAATAAAAGGTCTCCATAAAATCAGGGTACCCAGGGTGACATCCTTCAACCATGAGAGCAATCATCGAAATCCACTCCTCAATAAAATCCATAGATCCAGTGATCCAGGGTTGATTTTCCCAAAAGCAATGGTTTCTATACATTTCTATCTGTAAAATACCTGCCCCTGAGGTGGGTCATTCTAAAAACATACTTTTTCTCTCATCTAAACATAGTTAACATCGACCCCTGAGGGTCCATGGCCGGAGGAAATTCAATCCCCTAGGCCCTATAGGATAAGTCCACCATCAGAGTTTTCAAAGCAAAACGGAGCCAGCTGCATTGCAGCTGTTAAGTATCACCGGGACTCCTCATGATGCCTTCCTTTCCAACCGCCGCTTCGCTTCAGTCTCGACCTGAGGGCACGGCTCGGCGGCTCAACCTGGCGGTGGACCGAGCACGCGCCGGTCGAAAGCATCGCTGGACGTCGGACGACCGGCCTGGGGTGTTGGACCACTTGGCCATTCGAGAACGTGTTCTTCGTTGACTCCGCTTCTCATTCGATCATGCAGGGTCTACCTTCGAATCGATGTAAAAGCGAAGAACAACTACCCTGCATCGCCCCACAAACCCACCAAATGGACTTTCTTAATTAGATTCTCATGAGTTCTTCGGCGTCTCTTTGCGCTCCACACTCCCATCCATTCTCGGCCTCCTGCGACCCGGATCCAATGCGACATGCGGCGACCCTCTCGTCGTTTCCGGCGTCGTCTCCGCGGTGGGCGGGCGCTGAGACCCCCTTTTTTCACCGTGGAGGACCGGTCCACTGGATGCGGCGGATCCGCTCGAGGACCTGGCGGGAGCGGAGGAACCGAACGTGAGGAATTGCGAAGAGGTCGGATTCCTCCAGCGTTTGGGATCGAGCAATTCCCCCAAACACACACGATGATACACTGTATGATAGGGTCTCTTGCCGGGATGACTTTTTGGGTGTCTTCGTTTTTCAGCTCCAAGTTGCAGGCTGACCCGTCACGTTAAACGTGGAAGTGGAAGCGTGAAGGAGAAACCGTTCTCCAAGGCCCCACCAACTCTGCTAAGTAAGGTACTACCTGAACCTTCCAAAAATTGAAAAGGGAACACATTGGGGACACAGGGACTTAGTATCGGGATGTGTAGGGTAGCCGATTGGTCGTTTGGGTCTCTGACATTTGGGCTGCGCAGTTGCTGGTCGGGATCCTGCCACCTCAAATGCAGAACCGAGAAGTGGAGACTTTCATGGACCTGTGACCTACACCACGGTGACCCAAAGGTCTCAGGTGGAACGGATCCAACGCAACCCCAACCCTCTCGGTGGCATTTTCGGCGCGTAGACGTCGCACTGGCCATTTCAAGCCATTTCGCTGACCCCTGTGGGCTGTGGGGAGTCAGTTTCGGCCGCCTTGGATGATCATGTGGGGTTGGCCAGATCTGGTCATTTCAAGGGACATAGGGCACCTTCCCATTGCATTTACTTCTGAAAAATTGCCGATTTCCCGATCAGCCATTGATAGTCGATAGGAACATTGACCATTAACAAGGCTAGCTGAGCATCAACCCCTGTCAAAACATGCCTACCTAATGCCACGAATGAAGTCATATGTAACAGTACTAGTAATTGCAATTTCTTATTGAATCTGATAGAGCCTTAAAAAAAAGAAAAAAAACTCCCATCACTGCCCACATGGGTTGCGCCCTCACCGGGCCTCTCGTTTCCGGCGCTCGGGGAAGCACAAAGTGGAGGTCATTAGAACCAGGTCCAAGTCTTTGGGATCCGTGCCTCACACCGTCGGACGAACCGACAGCGTAGAACCACCGCACCACGGCGGTGCCATGCGTGAAATGCTGCAACGATGAGGCGGCAAAGGGAGTCGAGGAATTGGCGATGAACATTTTGGGCACTCAGGACATGGGATTCGACGGGTATATAACCGGTGTTTTGGGGCAAAGTGCTTCCTCCTCCAGATTGCTGGAAACATGCCTCCAGTCAGGTAAAATCAATCTGAACCACCCTGCGGCTGTAAGAAAAACAGACTCGAAAAAAGGGATCCACTGGCTTGGTCGCAGCTCGCGCCGGTCGCAGCTCGTGCCTTCACGTTCGATCCCCACCGCTATTTGGTTCTCCAAGTGGCAGGAGTAGCCGAAGGTCCGCAGCAGCCGCACCACCGGAGTCTCGGAGGTGTGTCCATCCGCCTCCGAGTCCTGGTGGACACTGAGTCGAGGTGATGTGGGGACCGCCTTTCAAGACCTTTCAAGAGGTGATGGTGTGAGTCTCGGAGGTGATGTGAGGTCAAGTAAAAATGGAGCATCGAAGACTTTTCACACATGTCCAAGATTGATCGATAATTCCCCAAAAATGCAAGCTGACCCCAACAGGTGTTTTCCCTTTAGGCACCTCATGAATCCATATGTGCATATGTTTCACTCTCTGGCTGTGTGCTTTGGCTTCCTTATTTTATTTGCTCAGCTTCAAGGGCCAAGGGTCTGGGGAACACTTTGCATGGATTTACCAATTGTTCTTGGGACTGAAATACCTCCTTTCTTGTCTGATTGGACTGCCGACGGCTCAGAATCATGGTCAGTCGTATTGCAACTGTGTAATCAACTAGAATTTTGGTCTTTTCATCTGATAGAACCAGCCCAAAGTATCCCATTTTGGCAAACATCTTGGCACAGTCAGTTGTCAAGATTCAGGTATGTGTCAGCCATAGGTTTTTGGTCTGTGTTGCATTGTTTGACGACACGTGGATCCGATGCCTCGACGTAGATCACCGGCTGGTGTCGGCGGATGGTCTGCTCGGCGCCCAGGAGCATGTCCTCGTCTGTCAACCGAAGAGCATGTGTTTTTTTGCGGCCAAAAAAGGGATCAAAGAGCTAAGGCTTTTCTTTTAAGGAATCAAGTCACCTGCGCAGCCACATGGTATTAATCACTGTGGGTTTGATATGGTTTGATGGCCGCCCCCAACCACTCGAAGCTCATCCGCTACCGGAGTGGTAGACGCGGTGGCAGCACCAAGCACCGTTTCACCACCGTCATCTGCCCAATGAGCCAACGGCCGTCCCAACGGCCGGACGGGTCAGAGCTTATTGGGAATGTCAATGCATCGAGTTCCGGCTTGTGTAGACAAAAAAGACATGCAGGCCTCATTCTTGCTCCGTTTGGCTTCGCCCATCTTCACCCAGATTCACCATGTCAACTCAAGGATGGGACAAGCGCTCCCTTGAGTCCTTGAGCTCCTGCAGTACATGCATATAGTCTCTTGAACATGTGAAACAAATCTAACTGGTGCGCCATATGAGTTAGCATCAATATTATCTGGCTGGGTTGTTTTCGTTTTCTTTTTGTGAGTCCCGTATCGTTTTCCAAGGTTTTGATTTTTATGATACTCATGCAACTACATCCCTATCCAACTCGACTAGTCACATTCCGGTGAACCGTGGCATTTCTGCAGCCATCCCTCATCACTACCAGCTTGGAGCACCGTTGCCACATGGACATTGCCATATATCGGCACTGGGCAGTAACAAAGTTCAGCACAATGCCGATCAATTAAGGCCACAACGGGCAGAGAGGAAGCACAATTGCCAAGATCATATGCAATATCCACTGGAATTACAAGGAGGATTTCACATCCACAGGGGGGAGTCTTTGAATCTAGATGAATTGTAACTGTATAACCTCTGGGATCCACAGTTTCAACTATCCGAGCAGGTGTCGGAGGTCTCGCTGCCTGAAGAAGTTGAACTGTCTGATCCAGATGTGTTCATAGCTGCTTCTATTTTTGTTGCTGCCATTTGCTTCTGTTTCTGAGCCCGCCTCACCCTTTTCTCAAAACCAAGCTGTGTGCAGCATGCATTCCTGTATAGCACTGGTCGGCACCCCCGCTATCAAATGGCTTTGCGCTGCCTGCCTCCTAGTCAAGGATGTTTCGTCATGAAGTCCTAGGGGCCTAACTTCGTGGTCCCAGCGTTCTCTTCCGACCTCTGACCAAAAACCTCGCCTATAAGCAGGGGCACAATCTTTGCTAGGCATGAGCTCGATGTCATTGGTGAGATTGGTTGCTGCAGCCATGTTGGAAAATATGTGATTGAAGACCTTCACACCAAGCTTGCCGCCAGCCTGAGCCAATGGAGGACTTGACACGCAGTAGGTGTGGGTGATATGAAAATTATTCGCTGTCCGGGCGTCTTCTGAGAATCAACATCGTTGAT